TCTGTTCAGCTCTTTTCTCTTGTCATTTATTCCCTTTACTTTAGCTTCTCAGACATGGGAGAGCCCTTTATTTCTAGCTTAGAAAGCTGAAGTAGCATTTGGAAGCCTTGGGCTTTCAAATGAATTTATTGGAAATATGTATTTATTTTATTTGCAAGAAGAAAAAACTTAAAATACTGTTACTTAATAAGAGATTTCTGATTTAAAAAACTATTCTGGGAGTTCATTACAGTATGGTCATTAATAGAGTTTAAATATCGTAAAATTGGGAAGCACATTCAACCTGTGACCTACACAGTTTACAACTTCAAATGAGTAATTACAAATCTGTACAATAAGTATTTTAACAGATGGAGGTTGTTCTTTCATGGTAAACCTGTATAGTCTGACATGTATGCATATCAACCATCTTTCAAAGTTAGCTATTAAAGGCAGCTTTTGAATATTATGGGAAAACTCATAGTCCTTTTCAATAGACAGATTTAGAAATTCAACCTTCTTGATGACAAAATGCAGAATAAGTATGGATTTACCTTAACTTGACAGGTATTTTATGTAGATATTATTTGTCCTTCTTTCGTAGCTCTCAAGGATAATGGCTAGTCAAATAGTTTGTATTCTCAAAATCAATGCAACATCTCCCTTATTCCAAGTCTCTCAGGAAGAGAACAGCACATTTATACTCATTTATGCTTTTATTTATTTTAAAAAAAGAAACAAATCAAAGGCCTAACTGTCCAATATGGGCTTTAGAGGGTGGTGTGAACTGGTTTGATTAACGTGCTTGTCTGCCACACGGAAGGTTGGAGGTTGGAGTCCACTCAGAGGTGCCTTGGGAGAAAGGTCTGGGAATCTACTTCTGGAAGAGTCCCAGGCACTGAAAACGCTGTGGAGCACAGTTGTGCTCTGACAGACACGGGGTTGCCATGAGCCAGAGTTGACTCAGTGGCTTCTGGTTTTAGGAGCTGATTATGCAATCACAGAACTAAAGGGATTCAAATCCACCTAGGTACAAGTAGTTCTCTTCCTTTGTAACCAGTGCTAAGTGTGGTTAAACCAAACTTACTAACTTTACCTTATGCTCCTTACAGGGAGAACCAGGAGAAAGAGGGGAAGATGGTCCACCTGGCAAACCTGGCCTTCAGGTATGGGCTTTGCTTCCTTCCCCATCACAGTGGTTGTTCCAGATGGTATATTTGGAGGTTGTGCATGTGTGAACCTTAGCTCACTGAACATAGTGTCAGGCAGGAAACAAATAGGAAGAGTGCAGTTACCTTGTGGGGATTGCAGGCAGTGTTAGAAAATAAAATGTGCATAAACTGTTGAATTGCAAACTAATTTTCTCCATAAACTTTCACCCAAACCACAATAAAAAGTTAAAAACAATAATTTCTAGCTCCTCTCCTCCACCACAATCACATACCTCTTTGCATCAGAGATTTATAAGGACCTGGTAAGCACAATAGCTTACTGGGCTCAGGGTTGGAGCCTCTGGTCCTCTGTCCCCCAATTCAGCTTGACCACAAATACTAGTCAGAAGCCAGGTGGCTGAGCACAGAACTTCACGCAAGCTATAAGGATACCTTTGTGTGCATGTGTAAGGCTTACTTTCCAGTATCAGTTTGGATGTTTAACAGAATTTCATCCAAGACTTGCCTTTATCATAGCTAACAGCTTGGGAAAAGGAAAACAGAGCTCATACTGCCCTCCAGCCACAGCAGGCTGCATGTGTTTGCCCAGAAAGAATGGCCAGCAACCATGGAAGAACGAGCCAGCTTGGACAAGTTCAGTAATGGCTTCCTTCTTCATCCTTGGAACCATCATGGGCTCTGTCTTTTCCAAAGGCCAGGCAAGCATGGGCACTGAGCTGAATCTAGCAGTTGCAGAGTCAGGCTTCTCATTGTTTGGAATTGTAAACCTTTAGATTCAGGACAAATGACTCAACCTGAGTCAACATTGTCATGGTTATTCTAGAAGCTGGTTCGTTTTGAGGAACCAAGACAGCATGAGGGAGTGTGCAACCCCTTCTCCAGAAATCCCAAAGCACCTTGGTTTCCATAGCCTTTCACCCTTGCCTATCCCCATGCCGTGGATGTGTGGTCCAGCTGGGAACCACAGCGTTTCTGCAGATGAGTGGGAAATAACAGCATGTCTGGTATCCTGTTTCCAGGGTGAAGTTGGGGAGCAGGGCCTGGCAGGCCGACCTGGAGAGAAGGTCTGTTTCTTCATTCATTCCTTCATTTATTCTTCATTCTGTTCATTCATTCATTACTACACACTATGCCTTGTATCAGTTGTCTTCTGCGCACTCACTGCATTCATTTCACATTTTCCATTATTCAGTTAATAACTATTGGCATCTACTTTATATCAGCCACTATGTTGAGCATGGGGCTTTAACCGTGAGCCAGGGTGAACTGGTCAATGAGTAGCAATTAACAGGTGTGGTGAGTGGTGGCACACAGGTGGGGACAGGGTGGGTAGGAGAAGCTTCCTCACCCAGATTTGGGGAATGTCAGGAAAGACAGTGAGGATATGACCTCATGGCTGAGACCTAAATGCCAAGTAGGAGTTAGTTATCAAGAGGGTTGAAACAAGGGTTCCAGAAGGAGAGAAGAGCTGAGGTCACACCCCAATGAGCTTCCCTAGAATTTCCCTTCCACCATTGCTTTGATTTCCATATGGCTTCCACTAAGCCATGTTCTAGGGGGACCAGAGAGCACCTGGCTCAGGTCTGGCCCATAGGAAGACCATTCATAGTCATGTTTAATGAACAGGGCTGTCATTTTATTTTCACAGGGACAGGCAGGTCTCCCAGGATTCCCAGGTGTGAGGGGAGAGAAAGGAGACCAGGTGAGTGAAGCTGCTGCAAATGGAAAGCAGCCCTCTCTGGAGTTCAGTCCCTCAGGGGGATGGGTTTATCGGGGAGAAGAGGGATCGCCCATTGTCCACAGGTCAGAAACGGGAGGGGCCACAGATGCTTCAGTCCATCTGTTGGAACAAAGGCTGGGAGCTTTCTTTGAAAGGACAGAGCACCTTCAGATGGAATTGATGGCAACACGCAGGTGGGAGGCGTCACCTACCAGGTGAACTGTGTGCTTCACCCTAACTTTCAGGACAACCCCTTGAGTTAGCTTTACTGGGGCCATTTTACAATAAGGCTAGGGCAGTCCAGAGGGGAAACAAAATGTGTTTTGCCCATGGTCATATTGTATGGTACTTTCAGTCACCTCACATGCATGTGAAAGCTGGGCAATGAAGGAGGAAGACCAAAGGACAACTGATGCAGTGTAGGCAAAGCATATGGGGTGCACCATGCACTGCCAGCAGAACGAACAAGTCTGTCATAGAGGAAGTGCAGCCAGAATACTCCTTAGGAGTGAGGAGGGTGAGACTTCATCTCACGTACTTTGGTCATGTTGTCAGGGAGGGCCAGTCCCTGGAGAAGGACATCATGGTTAGTAAAGTAGAGGGTCAGCAAAGAAGAGGAAGACCCCCAAGAAGATGGGTTGATGCAGTGGCTGCAGCACTGGGCTCCCACATGGCAACCATCGTGGAGATGGCAGAGGACCAGGCAGTGTTTGGTTCTGTCGTACATGGGGTCACTACGAGTCAGGGCCGACTCAGCAACACCTAATAATATATTGATCTTACCTGGAAGAGGCAAGAGTTAAGCTCAGTTTGAGTTCTAACATTTCCTGATTTTATCTTTTGCTATAGGGAGAGAAAGGTGAACTGGGACTTCCAGGACAGAAAGGCAGTCGAGGTGAAAAGGTAGGAGCTACTCACTCTCATCCCAATAATCATTCCTCATTAATTAAGTAGTCCGAAGGTAAGAGTTTTTCTGCAGAATGTATTTGTACCTTATTCACTCAGACTAAGTGACCCCAGGCACCTTTTTGAGGATACAGGAAATTAGACATAAAGCTCGAATTTCCTGCTGTCTGTTGTTGTAGACCTAAGATGATAAAGATTCCAAAGTCAGGCTACACATCCGTCCAGCCATCCATCCAACCACGCTTTGTCCCCGTATTTGTTAACGTATTTAGGATTTATCGAGCACCTGCCTCATTCCAGATGCTGTGGTAGGCTTGTTTACAGCCAGTGTCTCTGAGTACTATTGTAACTTTATTGATTTACATGTGGGAGCTCTGGTGGCATAGTGCCTAGGGCATTTGACTGCTAACCAGAAGGCTAGCAGTTCAAACTCAACAGCCACTCTTTGGAAGACTAGGCAATCTAGTTCTATAGAGATACCACCTTGGAAACCCAAGGAGCAGTCACTGTGAGCCGAATAAATTTGACAACAGTGAGTTGTTTTTTTTTTTTTACGTGACAGTGAGTAAGTGAGGTTCAAAGAATGTAAAGAACTTGCTGAGTCCAGCCCCAAGTACCCTGACCCTCACGTCTTTTTCTCTATGTATAAGTTGAAACAAACAAACACACAAAGATTGCCATTGACTTGACTGTGACTCACAGTGGCCCCATGAGTCAGCATAGAACTGTGTTCCATAGGGTTTTTAGTGGCTGATTTTCAGAAGCAGATCACGAGCCCTTTCTTCTAAGGTACTTCCGGGTGAACGTGACCCTTTCAGTTAGCAACCCATTGTATTAACCACTTGCACCACCCAGATACGCACGTTATAGATGAAGCCTCCATATTACTGCTTGTGAGGTTGACCTTGGAGCCACCTTGATGGTATTTGCATTTACCAAGTCCTGCTGTGTTACTGCTGTAGCAGAAGCTGTCGTTGGGAAGGAATCCACCGTAGGGTGGTTTTAGACGGTACCAGCATGTAGGAGTCCCAGCAGGCATCTGGTGGGAATTCGTAAACAAGGAAACAGCTGATTAGTTTGTACATGAGTGAGACTGTTGTTGAAACCATAAATAGTTTGTCTCTCCTCTAGGGGCGGTCCAATAAGCAAGGTAAGCACAGGCTTACTTGTGCTTTTTACTAATCTGTAGTGAATAATTTCACATGGGTTTCACATAATGTGAAACTGTTCACTACAGATTCCAACTCTCGGTGCCCCTGTAGGACAGAGTAGAACCGCCCTGTATGGTTTCAAGGCTGTAAATCTTTATAGAAGCAGATTGCCTCATCTTTCTTCCATGGAGCAGCTGGTGAGCTTAAACTGCCGACCTTTTGATTAGCAGCTGAAAGCTTTAACCACTGTGCTACTAGGACTGTCAGCATCTAAAAAACCAAACTCACTGCTGTTGAGTCATATCTGACTCATACCAACCCCTCCTTGGGTTTCTGAGGTGGGATCACTACGAAAGTAGACTGCCCAGTCTTCCTTCTGAGGAGTGGCTGGTGGGTTTGAACTGCCAGCCTTCTGGTTAGCATTCAAATGCCTTAGGCACTACACCACCAGACCCAGAGTCTTAAGGGGTGGTAGATGTGCAAAAAGTCATCAGCAAGACAGTGCTTGTTCTTGATGCTTCACAATCAGCCTCTGGCCAAATAGACACACACATACACACACACACACATCTCCCTCCTTCCATGGCTATGTGTCTTTGCCTGTACTTTAATGGAAAGAGCACTGTTCTTGGAGTCAAAATGTAGCCTGGACTATAATCTTGGTTCCACCTGCTCTGTGGTTCTGGGTCTCACGATGAACTTCCCTGAGCCTTGGTTTGCTGGTCTGAAAAGGCTTCTACTGCTATTGCTCCTGAGGGTTATAGTAAAGTGTAGATGATATCCCATCTGTGGAATGGCCAACTGTGAGCTTTGTAGTGACATAGTCCTTACAACCACCCTATGAGGGAGTTACTATTAGCGACAACATCCCCGTTTCATAGAGGAGCGAACAGGCACAGAAGGTTAAGTTGCTTGCCCAGCGCTGCATGGCTAGTATGCAGAAGAGTCAAGATTTGAACCCTGGCAGTCTAGATCCAGAGTCCTGGCTCTTAAAAATACAGTGTCCACATGGGTGTGCCCACTGGATGTGACACACACCAACAAGGTCCCACATTCTCCTCTACCTATACAGTTGTACAGGCCGCCTCTTTCTTCCAAGGTGGCCAACATCTTAGGCATTTCCTTTTACCCCATTTCCCTTGTGCCCTTGTCCTGTCTCGGCTGGCAGCAGATTCTTCCCACCCCTCTTCCCTCTGACCAGGACCTGGGGCTTTGCTCTACACTAACCTCAAACTATAAGTAGATTGCCTAGCATGGGGCTGGCTTGGTGTGGGTAAGCAGTTCAGGCTGCTGCTTCCACAGATTTTCAGAAATGCAATTTGGGTCAGAGAAACTCATTTTCAGAATGCCAGGGCTCAGCAGGACCATAAAGCCCCTTTAATTCCTTCAGTGGAATTGCAGGGGCTGCAGCACAGTCACACTTGACTTCCAAAGAAGCTGGCCCCCCTTGCCTTCCTCCAGAGATATATGTAATAATGGACAATTTCAGTAAGAATGAAATGAAATAAATCCACAACACAATTTGAACAACATTGCCCCCTGCTGACTACGCCTTACTCATCCTGCCTCTGTTCTTGCATTCCTCCCTCCCTCCCGCTCATTCATCCACTGACCGCTCATGTTAACCCACTGCCCTCCAGTCAATTCCAACTCACAGCACCCCTTGAGGACAGAGTGGAACTGCCCCACAGGGTCTCCAAGGCTGTCAATCTTCACAGAAGCAAAGCCCAAACCACACCCACTGCCGTGGAGTCCATTCCGGCCCACAGCGCCCCTAGAGGACAGAATGGAACTGCCCCATTGGGTCTCCAAGGCTGTCATCTTTACAGAAGCAAAGCCCAAACCAAACCCCCTGCTGTCGAGTCGATTCTGACCCACAGCACCCCTAGAGAACATATACGAACTGCCAGGTAGGGTTTCCCAGGCTGTGGTGGTGCAGTGCCTAAGGCATTTGACTGCTAACCTGAAGGTTGGTGGTTCAAACCTACCAGCTACTCCACACAAGGAAGACAGGACAGTCTGCTTTCATAACGATTTACTTCCTTGGAAACCCAGTGGGGGTCATTATGAGTTGGAATCGACTCAGTGGCAGTGGGTTTGGTTTTTGGTTTTGTAATCTTTACAGGAGGGAGCTCTGGTAGCATAGTGCCTAAGGCACTTGACTGCCAACCAGAAGGCTGGTGGTTCAAACCCACCAGCCATTCCTTGGAAGGAAGGTTGGGCAATCTACTTCCATACTGATACCGCCTTGGAAACCCAAGGAAGGGTCGCTATGAGTCAGGTCCGACTCAGTGGCACATAACAACAACAACAATCTTTACAGAAGCAAAGCCCAAACCAAACCCACTGCTGTCCAGTGGATTCTGACCCACAGTACCCCTAGAGGACAGAGAACTGCCAGTAGGGTATCCAAGGCTGTCAATCTTTATGGAAGCAGAATGCCTCATCTTTTTCCTGCAGAGGAGCTGGTGGGTTTGATTCAAAAACAAAACAAAACCCTTTGCTGCTGAGTCCATTCTGACTCATGCTGATTCCATGTATTCAGAACAGAATGGCTCCGTGGGTTTAAGGGGGTGTCGCTATGAATCGAGTCTGACTCGATGGCATGTAACAACAACAGTCTTTATGGAAGCACATTGCCAGGCCTTTCTTCTGGGTCCCACTGGGTGGGGACCTCCAGCTTCTTGGATTGGGTATGATGATGCTTCTTCCCCAGCAGGGGCTGCTGAGAGGCTAAATCCTCGGGGAAGCTGGGGTTTGACCCAATCTCACAGTTCCTCCTTCAACCAACCCCCTTTCCCAGGGGCAAGAAAGTCACTGGGAGTCCACATCACCTCACAGGGGTTTCTTCTCTTGATCCAGCCCTTTCTACAGGTGGCATTCAGGTCCTTGGGTGGGACACCCATCTCCCCAGGGGCCCTCTTCTCAGTTACATCCATGCATATCTCTGACTGGGAAATACTAGGTTCTGAGTACCGGGATGTTTTCAAGTGGACCCACTTGGTTGAGAGGAGGTTAGATCTGGGGCCTGGGTGAAACGGTGTCAGGAGAAGAAGGGGTAAATCCAGGTGATACACGGTAACTCTGAGAAGGTGGCTTTCTTCCCAATGCTTCTGCAACTTTAGTCTGGGCTGTAAAGCAGAGAACCTGAATTCTGAGTTTACACCCAGGCTCGGCTGCTTGCTGGTGGCTTAGTTAGCTTCAGCTTCCTCAGCTCTGAGTGGAGATACTGAAGTATCAACCTTAGAGGCATTTCTAACAAAGATGAAATAGTTAAGACATAGAAAATGCTGGAACCAGCACCTGTAATTGATCCTATACAGTAATACAGTGCATAGCATGTGAGTACTGGGCAATGAATTAGAAAGATTGTAGCAGAATTGATACATTTGAATTGCGGTGTTGGTGAAGAGTATTAAATATACCATGGACTGCCAGAAAAGTGAACAAATCTGTCTCAGATGAAATACAGCTGGAATGTTCCTTAGGACCAAGACGGGCCAGACTTCATCACATACTTTGCACGTGTTGTCAGAAGGGGCCAGTCCCTGGAGAAGGATATCATGGTTGGTAGAGGTAGAGAGTCAGTGAATAGGGGGAGCCCCTCAACACGATGGACTGACCCAGTGGCTGCAGCGATGGGCTCAAGCACAGCAAGGACTTTGAGGGTGGCTGCCGCACCGGGCACCACCGTGTACACAGGATCCTACGAGTCGAAACGCCCAACAGCACCTAACAACAATTCAAATACCAATACAGTAAAACCTGTGAAAACCAGAACTCGGTGGGGCTGTCCCAATTTTCCAGGTCCCTCATGTTTCCTACCTTTGACTGGGTGCAGTCTAACCACTTTTCTGTCACTCTCTCTCAGTGGAAAATAGTTGGGTTTTCCTTCTCTGATAGGTTTCCACTTTATGTAGGTTCCGGCTTTTGCGGGTTTTGCTATAAGAACACCATGACTTTTTACCCCTCGGGTTTTTATTGTTTACTCAAGCAGCCTCGTCCCTCTCTAAACCAACTTGATCAACCCAGCCATGTAATAATCATACATGGAAGGCCTGCTGCTATGGACCTACCCCTGGCTGGTGACAGGAGCAGACCTGGGCCCACAGATCCATTCCCTGATTCCTTGTGACACCTGTGAAGTGAGAGCTTTGGTGACCAGGTCACTTGCTGTGCTCCTCCTGCCTGAAACAGCTCACTGACCTCATTTCCTCCTGTAAATGATGAGAGCTTCCTCCTTGCTGAGCCTCCGCTGGAGGCAATCCCGGCTGATCCCACTGATGCTGTGGGTTGGAGGTGCTGTGGCCTTCCCTCTGCTGCATAGAGGGAGACATGCAGAAAGAAGTCAAATAACTTAGTAAAGCCCAGTGGAGACGGAGGGTTCAAGGCCAGGTGGTCCAGCTCCCGAGCCTGTGCTGTGACGGGGATGCAGTCCTGTCCCTCGGGCCCGGGAGCAGCCCGCTCTTTCAAAGTGGGGGACGGGGCTCCCTGGAGTCTCCAAAGGGGCTGGATGCCACATGTGGCCAGAGTGCATGAAGGTGCATGCACGTGCATGTCTGATGCAACAACAATTATGATCGCAGTGAGTGGAAACAACCTA